TGCTAGTAGTGTTTGAAGAGCTGATAATGGGTTAATAAAATGGTATCTTTAACTTGTATTACTGAGAGTTTTTGTTAAGGGTAAAAAGTAAAGTTCTTAAGGGAGAACATAAAACTTGCTTTTTCTAACAGATTGTAATGATCCAAAGCAGAGCTGCTCAAATTTGTCTTACTGCAGAGCATTTTTTAACACAAATACAAGTAAACGTGCACATATTTAGTGACATTTTTGTGTTGGTTTGCAGCTGTGCACTGAGAGAAAGAAAAACACTTCTTGCTGACCAATTCATTACTCGTTTTACTGACGCGAAAACAACTCCAAAGTGTAAACAGAAGTTATAAGGAATGAATTTCAGTGCAAGTTTTTGAGGATGATCGTGGAAGAACCAAGAACAAAATATATTACAGTTATCGACAGAATGAGGCGAAAAGAGCAAACGGAATAACAAGGACTTCGAGGATGATCGAGTAAGAAACAAAAACAAATTGTATTGCAGTTGGCGATGGAATGAGGGGAAAAGAGGATAACGAAAAAATAGCGCGGCCATTTACAAAAACAAATTAGCAAAACAAATTAGCAAAGTCGTTTAGAACCCCTGATCTATAGAGAGTTTGTATAAAAATTACCTACTTTGCTGATTTAATCATCTTTTATTTTTGTTTTTTAATGGGATTTTCATCTTCAAGGTGATAACCCTTTCCCTTTTCTTGATTTTTTTCTTGAAATTTCTCTATTTACTTAACATTATTAATGTGTCATTGTTATTTTTGTTTTTTAGTACTTTATTTTTGCTGTACTCGTACTCCTTATTTGGGCCACACATTTTTGTACGTTTTCTTGCGTACGCGACTATAAAAAATGTTTTTTTATTTTTTGTTTTTACTGTTTGTGTGCACAGCCACGAGCGCACAGGGAACAAAAAATGAAAGAAAAAAACGTATAATGAGTTTATGTATTTTAAACTGACCTCATTATGAAGAAAAATTGTTTTTGCACACTGAGCGTGGAAGGAACAAGTTGTTAACAAATGCCATTTTTTGAAGAAGGTTTTTATGTGTTTTTGTTCTTGATTTCCTTTGGCTGACACACGAAATGTGGAGTACAGTAATGTTAATAATTATTCAAGGCGATAAGCTAACAAAACAATCGAAGTAAGAACTGGTAACTGATAAGGAGAAGGAATTGGGCTTATCTTGAGAATGCCAATACGGGGCCCTTTTGAATGGAAGCCATCAACTTGGAATTGGTTTTTGGTTTTTTGAATTGGCCATAAATTTCAATTTGGTTTTTTTTTTTTGCATTAGGTAGTATTTTTTTCCTTTAAAACTTAATTTTTATGTCATAACTTAAACTAAAGTCTCAATTAATCAAGTTCTCAAAAATGTTTTTAACATAACTTACCCGCAATTTACGGTACAAGTTCTTTCCGTTTGTATTTTAATAAATAATTCTTATTTTTTTAAGGTTCTTTAAACGGAAATGTTTGAAAAAATTGTCACGTAATATTTGTGAAGTGAGTTGGGGTTTGCTTTTTGAGATGGAAGGGGGAATAATTGTCAGAATTATAATAAATTAAGATTTAAATTATCAATAATTGTTGTGGATCAATGGGTTTTTAAAGATAAATGAATGACAGGAAATAAGTTATAATATTTTGTTATGAGAACTTAAAGAAACCAAAAAAATATATAACCATTTGCCATATTATCTTCTCTCTTCTTCTCTGGACTCCTAACCATAACTTTCCGCACTCACTGTAATTTTAATTTAATTTAATTCTAAGCACGTCTGGGAAAAAAATATAACCAACAACTGTAATTACGTTTTTGCAAAATACAAAAGAAAAAAGGGCAAAAAACGGCGAAGAAGAAAAATTGGCAAGAACGAGGAGAAGCGAGGAGAATTCTTCTGAAATCTTCGCTTGCCACGAGTTGGAGTCTTTCTGGGCCCCCCGCCCACCACCACAACCACCCGCTCGCATCTTGGCGGCGGTTTTCTAAACGGTGATTTAGCCATTATGTTAACGGTAAAATGTGCAGAATCTCCTGGCCATGCGAAATGGAGTTTCTTTTCTTTGGACCTAAGAAAAAAAAACGAAAACCGGTTTTCAGGTAGTTTGGGGGGGGCCTTTAAGCCTTCATCGTCTTCGCTTTGTGCAACTGATTCGCTTCTTTTGGATGTGTCTTCTGCTGTTGTTTGTTTGTTGCATAACACGCGTATTCAGTTGCCTCGTTGTCAGCGTCTTGGCCAAATTATCTCCTGGCCGTTTAGCTTCTGTTATTGGTCTTCTAATTTGCTGCACTCCATCATCGCTTGAATATTTTCCCTGTGACAGTTTGCGGAAAAGCAAATAAATATTTTGTTTACTTACAAAAAAAAATGTACAGGCTATAAATAAATATAAGAAAAGGAAGAGGAAAAAGGAAAACCCAAAAGGAAGAAAGATAAGACAGAAGAAGGAACCATTTACCATTATCACAAATGCATTATTTCTTGTTTACATTTCGAGTCCCTCTCCCCCTGCTTACACTACTCAACACACTTTTTGTCCCTGTCTGCGTTGATAAAAATAAAGTCCAGCAAACAGCAATAGCAACAGAAATAATTTCAACGCGTCGCGACAATAAAGTAAACAAAATAAAATTGCTTTTCCTTGATCATATTTTCCATGCTGTCGCCGCTCGTCTCGCCCGGCGACTTGTTGAAACTATTTCAAGCGCAGAAAGATACTTCAACAACTTCAGCAGCTCATCAATAACGTATCTCATCCCGAGCCGCCAGCGCTGGCCCTCAATTAACATGCTTTTGTGAAAATTTATTGAATTTCTTCTTTAATGAAGTGGCATGTCCGAAGGCTGTTACTTCCTTTCGGGCTGAAGGTGTTCAGCGATTGGAAAGGTTTTTATGTCGGTTTTGTGGGTAATTAGATTGGTTTTATAGGTAACAAAATTCTAACTAAAGTTAAATACCTATTTGTCGCAAATATGTTAGAATTTGTAGACTTACATTTAACATTTTTAATGTTATTTTATATTACCAAGAACCTTTCCCCTATTTATCCTTCCAACTAACTAAGATACATTCCCTAACCGACTTGCCCCACTGCCCAAGTCACTGCAATCCATAATAATAACAATCATAAGGATTTAGCTTCCTTGTTTTAATCAATCAAACGACCAGCAGAGTGGAAGAAGTGATATCAGAAATAGTGTTAGTTGTCTTTGCGCTTGCAGTTGTCACTTGATGTATCTGCTAGATACAAGATACATGTGTATCTATGCATCTGCTAAGCTAGCACAAAGCAACAATTATAAACAATGACAAGAGCAGCAGCAAAGCCAACAACAACAATGAAATGCATTATTATTATCAGCAAAAATACATGACAAAAGAATGGGCAGAGTGAGTGAGCGAGCGAGAAGGAGAGATGGATTATTTCATGGAGATATATGTACTTGTATAGGGAGAGAATAAGACGGGGAGATTATGCTTCTGGTACTGGCTTTTGTGCCACGCGTACAGGAAATTATATAAACAACTTTCTGGGCTCCAAAAGGGGCGGGCGACGACGGGCGAGAAACAATGAGAAAAACGCAATGCAGTCGCAGTTGCTGCAGTTTTATATACATATACATATATATATATCTGCACACATACATTGAAACATTCATATGAGAGAGGTTGTATGTACTTTGTATGGCAACAGAAAATGTTGTTGATGTTTAAAAAGCAAATACAATAAAGCATTCTCCTCATGCCACCAACACTTGCATACAAGCACAAACACATATACATATACGAAAGTATATTTCCCGAAGAAGAAGCAGAAGCAGAAGCAGAAGCAGAAGAATACTTGCTACATGCGTGTGGAAAACTCTTTTTGGGTGGTGGCTGACGAGTTGAGTATACGACACGTTGGCCAAGTGAAGAAAATGAACACAATAACAAATAAGCGAGGAGAATGAAGAATGCAGTAGCAAAAAGTGAGAAAAACGGGGAAAAATGAAACTTTAATTTGCGCAGAATCTGGAGATTATACAGTTCACAGGCTTATGGCAGATAATGCTGTTTGTTTACAAGAAGCTTAAGGAAAGAGTTCGCCAGGGGGTTAAAAAAAGATGTAATCAAAGGTTTACTAGTTGGAAAGTATTAAGTTTAGAAGGGTTATATAAGTGTTTGTAGAACTTGGAGAGATATCAGTAAAAAATTAGTAAGAAAACACTTCTTAAATTTCATTTTGTATTTAATTTAAGAAACATTTTTAAGTTTATTTAAGAATTAAACCCATTAAATTAAGTATAATTCCTTAATTAGCATTCTCTCTATATGCTTTTTCCCCACTACTACTGTCTCCAAGGAAACCCTTTCCCTACAACCTGAACACCCTTGATTGTCTCTCAGCCGCCCCTTGTAAATCTCACTTTGAATCATTTTTGAGATACATTTAGGCTTAAGCCCTAAACCTTGCTTGCCGAAAAAGAGCTTGGGGGAGATAGTAGAACTTACACTTTGCCCTCGGCAACACAAAAGAGGCCTCACTGAGCCGCCTCCCCCTTTTTAAGCCCCATTTTCCCTTCACCTTGCACAGACACACACACACGCTCACTTGGCGCCTTTTACTCATTTCATCTTGGGTTTTCCTAGGGTTTTCTTTTTTTTTTTTTTGGAGGTTTTCATCATCAGGCTGATGGTGATGCTGCTGCTGATGATGATGATGGAGAAAGGGGGCTCGGCTCGACTTGGCCCTAAGTGTTTCTTGTAACTTGAGTCTTCAAGTGGCCAGCTGGCATTTGCTTTTGCCAGTTTTTCTTGTTTTTCTCGGGGTCCCTTTTTCTCTATGTATGGTTTTTTGTATTTTCTTCAAGTGCGGCAACTTATGTCAAGTCTAGCGTTTTGTTAAAAATAATAATAAAAAAAAAAAAAAAAAAAGAAATCTACACAGAAAAATGTTAATAAAATTTCCTTTTTCATTTTTCCCCTCTCTCTTTTCTCTTTTGCAGTGTTTCATTTACGTTTCGTACGCGATTTTTATGTGTGTGTAGACAACAAATAAACGGCAACAACAACAATAAATTAGCAACATCATTGTCTGTGGCAGCCATCAGAAACAACAACAACAACAACAACAACAACGAAGGGCACATCTAACGCTGCGGCTAACAGATGAGCCCCAACAACAGATGTCAATTGCTGCAGCCGAAAATGCAGGGTAAGTTTGGTTGCAAGGGGTTAAGACCAGAGGGGGGTTAAGCAATTTTCAACGGTTTCTGGTCTTTCAGCCTTATGGCTAATGAGCTAAATTGGATAAAACAATGGCTGATGAATGGGGAAATAGTATATATATTAGTGGGGTGTCTGTGGGTAAGGGGGAAAACTTCAAAGAACAAACGTGACTTGGGCTTAGATCGGAAAATAATTAGAGGAGGTTCCTTCTCTTTGTAGTTGAAGTTGTAGAAAAAGTTAAACTTAATATTAGGACAACAAATCACAAAATACTAAAAGTATTAAACAAAACACTTTTCTATTCTATCTTTCAGTTTAAAAATCTTTTTATTTAAGTTACAAAATTAGGGCCTACGGAGGTTATCAGGCTGATTTGTAGTTTTCGTTTATCTCTTTGCTTAAAAACCCTTTAAAACTTTCCAAAACCAACTGCCTAATGAAACTCCTTTAAGTATTTAATAATTTGCAGACTAGTTTAGGTATCGCAGTTGGAAAAAACCTTCATTTATCACTGAGTCGATAGCTGCTTTCCCCCTCTGCCACCCACCTCTCTCTCTCCACTCCCAACTGTCTCGGCTAGACATTTAATCTGAAATGTTATAACTGTGGTCCTAACACCCATGTGCCAGTCATTAGAAGCTCGTTGAATATTGCGACATCACGCCTGCTGTGTTTTTGTTTCGTTTTTTTTTTTATTTCGACTGAGAAATCATTAATTTCACGCTCTAGTCCGAGAATCTCTCAGATACAGATACATTTTTTTACAGATACAGATACACGTCGCGCTCTCCCACTCTGTCTCTCTCTCTGCGGCTACTGCATTCTATCTCTTGTTTTTCCTAAATTTCCTATAATATTTGGCGCATATTTCGGCATTTGATTTATGGCCCCTCAATTTGTTGCTGCCTCTGCTGCCTCGTTTTTTGTGGTGTCTCCGCTTTCGTTTCTCGGCCTGCTTCTTCTCATAATTTTCTTCAACGTTTTTTGCTTCTTTCCGTTTGGTATTTATTTTACTTTGGTATTTTGATTGAAATTGATTTTATTACTCTTTTTATTAGTTTAACTCGAAAGGCGAGTGTGAGCGGGAATTATGTGGCGAATTTTATGATTTTATTTTCGCCCTCGGCTCGAGTTTAACTGTCGAACTTGTTTGGTTTTTCTTTTTCTTTTTGTTTTTGTTTTTTCGGATATCTATATGGCAAGTGCCATTTGGGATTTCGAAAGCCAGTGGGGCCATAAAAAGGGCGCCTGGCAACCATGGGTTAATGTGTGCCCTTATCTAACACGCTTCTTTGATCAAACATTTTGTTTCCAGTTAAAATTCCAGATAAATTTCAGATTTACTAAAAGACTTTCCCAGTATTTTCCCCCCAATTTTCAAACTCTGTTAGGCAAAAGTTTTCCCTCAATTAAACACAAATCTGAAGGTACTCATGCAAATCATATGTATATAAAAATAATTAAAAACTTTTCCAAAACCAAGTACAGTTACTCTTTGCATTTTGACTAGTTAAAATTATAACACTAAACGGCCAGTAAAAAATCATTAAAACAATATTATTCATAGCTTTTGCATGCAATTAAAATGAGAAACGTGAATGGTTGTTCATGTTTTTTGTGGCCACTAATTGTCATTGAAATAAAAAATATGAAAAAAAAGTGAAAGTGAGTGTTGGTGTGGTGACACTCGCAGCACTCGAGAGAGGAACATCCATCAAAGGCCCAAGTAGTGATGAGTAATTCTCTAAAAACCGAAATTAACTTAGTTTTTCCTTGCCTTATTTCATAGGCCTATGAAATCTATCTTTTGAATGGCCGAGAGTGCAGTAGCCATGAAATGTGAAACAACTTTATTTCACTGTCAGTGGGTCTCTGTCTCTGTTGGAAAACCGGCTTGAAAAACGCCAGAAAATACGAGTAAACTATAAACTAAAAACCAAAGAGAAAAACCAAAAATGATTACGCTTGCAAAGCCCGAAACTAGAAAATGAAAGTGAAAGTAGGCCAAACTCATCAGCATGCTCGATTCCACCGACTTTGACTTCGACTCCGAGACTTGAGCGCCGACTCATCGGGTCTCTGTGTCTGTAGGTAGGCCTATCTAATATCTCCATGTACATGGTTGCCACAGAAAACAATGCAATCCATGCCACCATCCACCACATCCACATCACTCGACTCCGCTTCCACTACGGTAACGGTGGCTGGGGATTTGACTTTGCTTCACTTTCGATTTCATCGAGTCTTTGAGCCTATGAAGAAAAGTGAAAATAATTCAGTGAAAATCGTTTCTTTATGCGCCGCAGCGGGAAAGCGAGTTTTTGGGTCTTAAGAGCTAGCTGGTTATGAAATTGGTCGGCTATGGGATTAACAGTTACAGAGAGGTTTAGGTTAAGTAGATATATGGATCAGCATTTAGTTTATTATTCAACTTTTTAATGAAATCAGAAGGTAAATAAGCCAAAAGAAAGAAGCTTAAACCGAAAAACAATGATAGAAATCTATATATTAGATCCAGAAAAAAAATGATAAAAATCTCCTCCAATTAAAACCCCCACTAAACCCCACTTAAGTTAACATCTCTGTTACCACAGTAACTGTCTTTTGGCCATCAGTAATTGGCTAATTGACCCCCCACTACCACCCTCCAGCCGAGCCATTAGGTCCATTCTTTATCCCAGCTTAGTTCAGCCTTTATGCCCAACCAAAAAAGAAAACAGAACCCAAAACTTTTCTCACAGTCCAGCGAGTCCACAAGTGGATTTGTTACTTCATCCACTGGCCACAAAATAGGACTAACTATGTACGACAGGGAAATAAATGGAAGTGGAAATGGGCATGGTCGATGGGCTGTGGGAAAAAGAGGGGGGCGTTGAGGACTGGACAAACCATCTATAATTTACTTTTTAAGCGCCTGAAAACATACATTTTCCATTTGGCAACAGTAATTTCCAGTGTGGCAAGAACAACAACAACAAAGGCAACGATAACGATACCGATAACCACCCACACACACACTCAGAGGGAAAAGGGAAACAGCAATCGACACTTGGCTACGCCCGAAAACAAAAATTAAATTCGTTTCCCCATCATCTCACTCAGCCGCTCTCTCGACGAGAAGAAATTATAAGCCGCTTACATAACAATCAATGCGACTAAGACTGCAGGCCCGTTTTACCATATCTATGGTGCTGGGCAGAGGCGTCCTAAGAAAAAGGGGATTGAAATTCTTCTCTTAAAATAAAAATTAGTATTAGTAAATATGTTTTGGTTACTGATTTATATGACTATCGAATACCATCGATAATATCGAAATACCATCGATTGTTTGATGTTCTGCTTTTTATTTCCCTATTTTATATTCCTTGAAAATAATAAAAAAAACATCTATAAAGCCAATGCGAAGACTTAAAGTATAACCACAAAGCATATTATCGATAATATCGAAATACTATCGATTATTTTTCAAATTTACAGCTGGGAAAAGTTGCCAGATCAATGAATCTATAAGTATTCCTTCATAAATCGTCAACATTTAGTGGTACTAAAGTATCACCTCATTTTTAAAACATAACGATATATCGATATATGAAGATCTGTCTTTCTTCTGATATATCAAACTGAGAATACTGAAAGTTTTTATCTAAAAAACTTAAACATTGAAAAAGAGATGAACCTATATAAGGTTATATTAATCCAAAACTCTCTACCCCCCTCTAAGACCGTTTTCGACGCCCCTGTTTCGTAGGCCTCCTGTTGAGTGTGAGAATGTTGCGATGGCTTTTTGCTCGCCCTAATTGCGCTGGGCGTGGCAGGCAAATCAAATTTGTAAACAGATTTCGTTGCCACGGATGATGGTGGGGGGTTTTCAGGCAAACGAAGACTCTTCTTGGTCGTGTTGTTAAATTTTCCTTTGCTGAATGCAATCAGGCAACTTGGCTTGAGGAAAATTCCAAACAAAAAAGCCAAGAAATACCAAGAAAATGGGAGAGAGCTCGTCGTCTCGTTGACGCCCCATAGGAAACTTTTTTTTATTCGTTCTTTTTTTTTTTATGACTCGAGCTTTGTTGTTGGCCCAATACTTTGTCATTCCCCAAGCTAGCCCCTCCCCCGTAACCCCCACCATTAGCACCCACAAACTGCTGTCCTCCCACGTTTCATGTAAAGCATTTGCGAGGAAAAAATTATCGCATTTTATTTTCATCCTTATCAGACGCATTTTCCCGCCGGCTCACTCCCTCTTTCCTTGCTTGTGTCGCCTAACCGAAATTTATATGCAGACAGCGGAGCGTCATTGCAGTTGGCGTTCTTTTCCTTTTCTGGGATATATGTACTGCGATTTCCCTCTGTGAGTTGGAAAAATAATTTTCGCTTCTGGTTATTACACTATGTATGTGTTCTTTCTTCTTGGCAAATTGCTTTCAATTTTTTTTATAGTTTTTCCACGACTGCGTATGGTCAAAGTAAATGATAGTTAGAGGGTTGGGTGGGAAATTACACTGGGAAAAAGTATTCGAAATTATGGGTATAGAGGTGAAGGAGAACTAAGTTTAACTTTAAGTTTTAGTAGATAAAATGGAGGTAGGAAAAAAGGCTGTCGGAAAAGCTGTCCAAAATCAGTAAATAAATCATTAATAAAATATAAATAAAATCTCTTATAATTATATAAATTTAAATTATTCATCTTTTCCCTCACTGTCTTTCCTGACTGCTTATAGAAAACCAAATTCCTTTGTGGCTTGCTGGAAAAGTCACTTAATTAAACTGTCTCTGCCGCCTGTCACTTTGTAAGCTTAATTTATTAGCTCTCAGGAAAAGGATTCTATAAAATCAAACCAACTAGGAACAACTTTGATTTTAGAAGTCTTTATTTTCCAAAGAAACACATTTGCTGCTCTAAGAAATCAACAGATTAATGACTTTTCCAATCAACAATTGCTATTCAATGAAATTTCATTAGACACATCCTTCATGATGTCAAGGATG